CCCCCAACTTGTACATTTCCTACACATCTAAGGCCTTCCTCCAGTGTGAACTCTCATGTGCTGAGAAAGGTTAGATTTTCGGCTAAAAGATTTGCCACATTCACTGCACTCATAAGGCCTTTCTCCCGTGTGAACTCTCTGATGATAATGGAGAGTGGAACGAGAAGTAAAAGATTTCCCACATTCACTGCACTCATAAGGCCTTTCTCCTGTGTGAACTCTCTGGTGAATAATGAGGTGAATTCTTTGGGTAAAGGATTTCCCACATTCACTGCATTCATGAGGCTTTTCTCCAGTGTGAACTCTCCGGTGTCTAATGAGTATTGAGCTATTTGTAAAAGACTTCTCACATTCATTGCACTTATAAGGCCTTTCTCCTGTGTGAACTCTTTGATGATAGCCAAGGGCAGAGACAGAAGTAAAAGATTTCCTACATTCACCACACTCATGAGGCCTTTCTCCAGTGTGAATCCTCCTGTGTTTAGAGAGGTACGCATTCTGGCTAAACGATCTCCCACAATCAGTACATTCATAAGGTTTTTCTCCAGTGTGAACTCTCTGGTGTTGATTCAACTGGGAACTATCCCTAAAAGATTTCCCACATTCACTGCAGTCAAAAGGCTTTTCTCCTGTGTGAACTTTTTGATGACAACGAAGGGCAGAGCTAGAGGTAAAAGACTTCTCACATTCACTACACTCATAAGGCCTTTCTCCAATGTGAACTTTCTGATGGTAACGAAGGGCAGAGCCAGAGGTAAAACATTTTCCACATTCACGACATTCATATGGCCTTTCTCCTGTGTGAACTCTCTGGTGTATATTGAGGTGATTTCTTTGGGTAAAGGACTTCCCACATTCACTGCATTCATAAGGCCTTTCTCCTGTGTGAATTCTAAGGTGTCGAATGAGTATTGGTCCATTGGTAAAAGATTTCCCACATTCACTGCACTCATAGGGTTTTTCTCCAGAGTGAACTCTCTGATGATAACAGAGGGCGGAGCCAGAGGTAAAAGATTTCCCACATTCACTACATTCAAAAGGCCTTTCTCCAGTGTGAACTCTCTGGTGTTGGGAGAGGTAAGATTTGTGGCTAAAGGATTTCCCACATTCACTGCACTCATAAGGCCTTTCTCCTGTGTGAATTCTTCGGTGTATAATGAGGTGATTTATTTGCGTAAAAGATTTCCCACAATCATTACACTCATATGGCCTTTCTCCTGTATGAACTCTCTGATGATAACGGAGGCCAGAACTAGAAGTAAAAGACTTCCCACATTCACTACATTTGTAAGGCTTTTCTCCAGTGTGAACTCTCTGATGATAACGAAGGGCAGAGCTAGAAGTAAAAGATTTCCCACATTCACTGCACTCAAAAGGCCTTTCTCCTGTGTGAACTCTCCCGTGTTCAATGAGGTCAGTTTTTCGTTTAAAGATCTTCCCGCATTCAGTGCACTCAAAACTCATTTCTCCAGGATCAACTGTCTGTTGTTGAATAAGAACAGAGCTCTGCCTGAAAGATGGTGCACATTCACAACACACATAACAACTTTCTCCGGTGTGACTTCTCTGAGGATAAATGAGGACAAATTTTTGGTTAAAGGATTTCCCACATTTACCACACTTGTGCTGCCTTGCCCCAGAGTGAATTCTTCGGTGTTGATTGAAGGTTGAGCTTCCCCTAAAGGATTTTCCACAGTCATCACATACATGAATTCTGTCATCCGTGTGGACTCTCTGGTGAATAACAAATGAGGATTTGTACCTGAATGTTTTCCCACACTCATGGCATACAAAACACTGTCTTTTAGTGTGTATATTAGAGTCCTTAACATGTGTGTGTTTGGAACTGAAGACTTTCTTGCATTCTTTACTTTTTATGTGTTGAAAAGTCACCCTACTTTTGGAGATTTTGTTTGGCTTCTCCCTGGTGTGAGTAGCCTGTTGCTGGAGATGTCCTGAGGTGGTCAGGCAGTCCTTCCCAACCTCTTCATGGGTAAAGGGCTTCCGTGACATACGGAAATTGCAGCTCTTTGCAGATGAGGCTCTGTCCACATTGTGCTGCTCCTGATTCTGATGACAGTTTGCACTGAAATAAAATTGTTTTGCACATGCTCCACATCTCAACAGTTTGAGTCTGTGTAGAGTTTCTTGGTGCTCAGTCAAGTGGAAGATGTCTCTCAAGACCAGACCACACATCTCACAGGGGTGGGTTTTCTGGGAAGATGGAGATTCCTCTGGAGTCCTTGACAGTGACACTTCCACAGAAACATTCTGTTCAAATGGTGCCTCCACATTCTTTGTTCCACAACAGCAACCTGAGTGCAAAGAAATGAAGTACACGTTGATGAAGTACACGTTGACTTTATTGGCAAGAAGCAACCCAACCACAAATGTGCAAGTGAAAACCAAAAAGGAGCAGGGGTAACTATGCTAAGCAGTCACACAACATAAGATTTTATGTGAAAAACTCACAAGAGACAAAGAATCTCCTTAAATAACGATAAAGCAGCCAAGTCATCAAGAAAATGTAACATTTATAAGTACATATGTACCCAATATCAGAGCACCTAAATATATTAGAAAGTACTAACTGATCTGAAGACAGAAATAGACAGCAATACAATAACAGTAGAGGACTTCAATACTCCACTTTCAACAATGGATAGATCACGGACACAAAAATATCAGCATGAGAATATCGAACTTGAATTTCACTTAAGAGCAATGGACTTGGCCCTGGCTGGGTAACTCGGATGGTTAGAGCGTGGTCCCGATATGCCAGGTCAGGGCATTTACCAGAATCCATCAACGAATTTATACATAAATAAGTGGAACAACAAATCGATATTTCTCTATCTTCCCCTACCTCACTCTGTCTCTCTTCCTCCGAACCCTCTCTAAAACCAATAAATAAAAATTTAAAAAAACAACAGACATATACAGAAGCTGCAGCAGAATACACATTCTTCTGAAGTGCACAAAGAACATATGGAATAACAAATCACATGTTAGGCCACAAAACAAGTCTTAACAAACTTAAGAAGACTGAAATCATACTATTATTGTATTGCTGTCTACTTCTATCTTTCTCAACCAAAATGGCATGAAACTGGCAATCATTAGATGAAGAAAGCTGAAAAATCACAAAGTTGAAATATGTCAAATATAAACAACAAACTCCTGAACAATCAATGGGTAAAAGACATAATATATACTCAGACAAATGAAAATGTCACTGTACAGACATAACACAGTACAGATGGTAACAAAAGCAGCAGTTAGGAGCAAAGTCTATAGTAATAAATGCGTACATTAAGATAAAAGAAAGATCTCAAACAACCTCCCTTTATACTTTAAAGTGTAAGAAAAAAAACTAAGATCAAAGTAAGCAGAAGAAAGCAAATAAAGATTAAAGTAGAAATAAGTGAAAGAGAGACAAAAAACAATAGAAAAGATCAATGAAACTAAGAGTTGGTGTTTTGAAAAGATAAACATATTGACAAGGTTTTAGATGAACTAAATGACTGAAATAAAATCAGAAATGAAAGGAGACCTCACAACTGATAGCACAGGAATACAATCAATCAGAAGAAACTACTAGGAACAACTATATGTCAGCAAACCGGGTAACCTAGATATATTAAAAAATTTTCTAGAAACATATGAACCATCAAAACTGAGTTATGCAGCCTGGCTGGCAAGGCTCGGTGGTTGAGCATTGACCTATGAACCAGGAGTCAGGGTTCGATTCCCAGTCAGGGCACATGCCCAGGTTGCAGGCTCCATCCCCAGTACGGGGCGTGCAGGAGGCAGCCAATCAATGACTCATCGTTGATGTTTATCTCTCTCTCTCCCTTTCTACCTCCCTCTCTCTGAAATCAATTAAGACACTTTTAAAAATTAAAAAACAAACAACCACCCACCCTCGGGTGAGGATTTCCAAAAAAAATCATATAATCATATCAGTAGGTACAGAAAAAGCAGATGACAAAATTCAGTACCTTTTCATGATTAAAAAAACAACCTCAAAAACGTGGTATCAAAGCTAACCCAAAGTTAACATCATCCTCAATTATTAAAGCTAAAAGTTTTTCCTCAAACATTAGGAACAAGACAAGAATGCCCATTCTCTCCACTTTTATTTAACATAGTACTGGAAGTCCTAGCCAAAAGTAAATTACGAAAACAACAAATATAGAGCACCCAAATTAGAATGGAAGAAGCAAAACTGTCTGTCTGCAGATGATATCATCTCATATATAAAAACCCCTAAAGACTCCACCAAAACGCCATCAGAACTAATCAATGAATTAGGTAAAATCCCGGATAAAAGAATATCAATATACCAAAACTCAGCTGCCTTGGCCAGGTAGCTCAGTTGGCTAGAGCTTCCTGTCAACATGCCAAGGTTGCAGGTTCAATCTCTGGTCACAGCACATACAAAAAGCAACCAATGAACACAAATATGTGGAATAACAAATCGATGTTTTTCTCTCTCTCCCTCTCCCTACCTCCCAGGCCTTCTGCTCTCTCTCTCTAAAAAAAACAAAACAAAACAAAAAACCAGGAAAAATAAAATCTCAGTTGTGTTTATATACACTAATAATAAACTACCTGCAATAAATAAGTAAATAAATAAATAAATAAGAAAGCAATCCCATTTTAAAATAGCATCAATGCTCTGACCAGTGTGGCTCGCTGGTTAGAGCATTGGAAGGGTCATGAGTTTGATTTTCTGTCAAGAGCACTGCAGCTTCAATACTCGGCCTCGATCGGGGTGTGTTAGCAGGCAACCAATCAAGGTGCCCCTCTCACATCAATGTTTCTCTCTCCCTAAGAAAATCAACAGAAAAAATATCCTCGGATAAGGACTAAGAAAACAAAACAAAACAAAACACAAAGCATCAGAAATAATAAAACACTTGGGAATAAATTTAACTTAGGAGGTGAGAGATCTGTATTTTGAAATTTTTAATACATTGATGAAAGAAATTTAAAACACGGCCCTAGCCAGCCTTGCTCAGTGATTAGAGCGTCAGCCCGCAGACTGAAGGATCCCGGGTTCGAATCTGGCCAAGGGCACGTACCTCGGTTGCAGGTCAGGGTACCTGCAGGAGGCAACCAATTGATGTCTCTCACATCAATGTTTCTCTCTCTCTCCCTTCCACTCTCTGAAAAGCAATGGAAAAAATATCCTCGGGAGAGGATTAAAAAAAGATATTGAACAAATAAATAGAAAAATATCTAGTGTTCTTGAATTGAAAGAATAAATATTGCTATAATGTTCATTTTACCCAAGGTAATCTACTCAGTGGGATCTGCAGATTCTACACAATTCGTATCAAAATTCCAATGATATTTTTCACAGATATAGGTAAAGCAATCCACTTGATTTGGGGTGGTGCACACACAACATAGTGTACAGATGTGTTGCAGAATTGTTCACCTGAAACCTGTATAATTTTGTTAACCAGTGTCACCCCAATAAATTCAATAGAAAGGGGGGACAATCCTAAAATCCATATGGAACCATCAAAAAAACCCAAATAGCCAAAGTAATCTTAAAAACAAAAAAAACAAAACAAAGCTAAAGGTATCACACTTCCCATTTCAAAACATTACAAAGCGGTAATAGATATATCTGATAAGGAGTTAATATCCAGAATAAATAAAGAACTCACACACCTCGACAACAAAAAAAATTTAGAAATGGTCAAAGGATGTATATAGACATTTATTCAAAGATATACAAATGGCCAAGATATATCATGGAAATGCAAATTGAAACCACCATGAGGTACCACCTCATACCTGTTATGCTGGCTATTAACAAAAAGACAGTAAGTATTGATCAAGATATGAAGAAAAGGAAACCTTTGTATCAACTTTCATTTGGATTAGAGCAGTTGCCTCCTTCTAGGCTCCCTGCCTCCTCCCTTAACTCTATAATCTGTTTTCCATGCGCAGCCAGATGAAGCCTGTTACATCCAGGAGACCAACTCCTTCTTCTTGTCCAAATGTCCATTTACCTCCATTTAGGAATGTAACTCAATACCACCACTATGGACAACAGCACAGAAGTTCCTCAAAACATTAAAAATAGAACTACCATATGGTCCAACAATCACACTTCTGTGTATACTATATCCAAAAGAAACAAAAATCAGTACCTCAAAGAGATATTTGCACTCCTATGTTTATTGCAACATTATTCACAATAGCCACAATACAAAAATTACCTAAAGTATCTGTCTAGAGATGAATGGATAAAGTCAGTCTGGTATATACAAACAATAGGGTATTTTTCAGCCATAAAAGGGGAAATCATCCATTTGTGACACATCAATGAGCCTGGAAAGCACAGTGCAAAATGAAATAAGCCTGATTGAGAAACACAAATACTGTATAATATCACTTATATGTGGAATCTTAAAAAAAGAAAAGAAAAAAAACAAAGAGTCGAACCATAGAAACAAAAAGAATGCTGGGGCTAGGGGTTAAGGGAAATTGAGAGATGTTGGTGGGTTGTAAGATTAAGTTCTTAAAATCTAATGTAAAACATGGTGACTACAGTTAATACTGCTGTATTGTATACTTGAAATTCGCTAAGAGACCATATATTAAGTTTTATCTTACACATGAAAAAGATAAATACAATAGTCCTCTCTTATCATGAGGGGGTATATTGCAAGAAACCACGAATAGTATCCAGCCCTGTATTTGAGGACGATAGATGTGTTAATTTGGTTACACTAATCATTTGACAATGTATATGTACAGTAAATCAGGACATTATACATTTCAAATATGTACATTTATTTGTCAATTATACCTCAATACAGGTAGAATAAAGAAAAAATATCTAAACACTACAAATAGAACCGTACAGGACAGTCTTAAAAAATGCCTGTAATTTCGGGCATGGGCAAACCCAAGGAAATGTCAAATTAAAAAAAGGGGGGAAACGGACACAGAAGCACTATCTATCTGGATACATGACTCAGCCTGGGAGAGGGGAAACAAGGTGGAATCATTGGGCTCCTATGAGGATTCAGTACAGCATGTATTGGGGCTGCAGGGAGAGATGAGGGCAGTGCAAAATACCCAGCCCTACCAAGGAGAGCAACTACCCAGAAAACTGGGGAAGCAAGCAGTGCCCACAGTCCACATGTAAGGACAGATCACCCCTGGGGAAAAGTGAGCATAGGTGAAATGCAAAGGCTAGGCCAGGTCACTGGGGAGAGTGAGGGTCTTACCCAGAGAGGATACAAGTCCAAAGTTCTCCAGCATCACATCAAGGTACAGGCGTCTCTGAGCCTCATCAAGGAGGCACCATTCCTCCCGGGAGAAGTGCACAGCGACATCCTCAAAGGTCATACCAACCTGTCAGGATTAAAACAAAATCTGCTACTCAACTCCTCACATACCTTCCCATTGCTCACCCTTATCCTGGTATCACCACAGGAGATACCAGGCCCTGGTGCCAGTGATGCTGTCTGCTTACAGTTCCAAGAATCACTGTTTTCACCCTCAGCAACAACATGAAGGGGAGGCAGATAAATGCCACCAAAGCTCTGAACCTGGCCTGCATCCCTCCTGACAAGCAATTTACCTAGGGTTTCCCACATTGTGCCTCTAAGACACAGTCAACCATGGGACACTCAGCTCACACTTCCTCTTCATGTGCACAACCTTTAGTACGCCAAACCTCTCTCACATCTTCAGACTGCAGTTTCAGTTCAATAGCTCTATCATCTTCCTGATCCATACCACAGGCATGGACTCACCCATGTATTTGGATGAGTCTCTCTGGACTCACCCATGTATTTGGCACATGGCTTGACATTCAAGCCAGATCCCACACAACCCCAGGCCTCCCAACCAAGAAAAGCCCCAAATGAGGCTCTAAAGACCTTCTTGCCTGCCTCTGATTTTTACTTCAGTATTGTGTCACTGTGATGTTTCTCTTTCCTTCTCTCCCTAATCAATAAACATGTCCTCGGGTGAGGATTTATTTTAAAAAAATTAAAAAAAAAAAAAAAAAAAAAGAATGGAGATTTGCATTATCTCCTTCCAGCTCAGTGGCACCTCCAAGCATTTGCACATGCTGGTGTCGGGCTCTGGGGTAATTCCACACCTGTTTACACCGGTTGTCAGAAATGGGAGCACCTTCATATCACCCGTGCCCTGCACTCAGGACAGAGATTGGGAGTATCCCAAGGCTCCCCACATCCACGAGCTGAGAAAGTACCAAGGGAAGAGTCTGCAGAACCACAGTCTCAGACAGGCTTCCAGATCTCAGACCTAACTTGGAAAACAGGTGAAAGGTTCTGAGCACAATAATCCCAGACACCACATGGGTGATGTCCGGACCAGGGAGGGACTGGGATACCCTGTCTTTCCTTGTGTAGTTCTATGAGGTTTTTCAACCTTGGGAACCTGTGGGAAGAACCAGAAGAGCATCCTTCAGCTCCAGGTGAGCAGGTGTCCTCTGTACCCCACCCAGCCCTGGAGCCTGGTGATCTCCGGCCCACTGCCTGTCCTCAGCGCTGCCCCTCACCACCTGCGACCCTGGGCAAGGACTCGTTCTGAGCCCCACCATTCCCACTCTAACCTTGTTCTCTCTTAGCAGCCTCTGGAAAACACATCCTGACAGCCCGTGTCGCTCTTCTGTCCACGACCTTCCATGGCTCCCGGGCTCTGAGCGGAGGCACAACCCCCGCCAGTGCAGTTGCCCCTTCTCCTCTCCCTGTTCCCTGCTCCTCCCGGCTCAGCCGCCCCTCCGGCCCCCATGAGGCGACCCCTCAGCCTGTCTGCCCCTCCCACTTTGTCGCCCTCCAGCGCCTCCCCGTCAGCACGCCGGGCCTGGGCTGCACGGAGGGCCCGGGC